CTTATCATTTGGTCTGGGCTGTCTTTTATGGCCTACCACCTATTTGGGAAAAAGTGTCTATGAATTGAAATATCTGGTCAAAATCATGTTATGTTTAAGTTCTCCTTCTTGATGTGAAAAAGCTCCTTGGAAGAAGGGGTGGCTCAGACACACCACGCAGCTGTCCCCAAATTGGGACATCAACTTAACCTCACTTGACACATGCCGAGACTCTCAGACTTTTACCCATGAGGCCCATTAACATCCACACCTTTTGTTCTAAATTTACTGTACCAAACTTTACCAAAAGAATTCCAGATTTGAAAATAATAATAATAATAAAAAGGCAAAGGAGCTTAATTTCCATTGTTAGCCCAGAAGTGAGTCACCACCACAGAATTTCTTGTGTCTACTGATTAGACCGGATGTAGGCTGGGTGGTGCAGCAGGAAAGGCCGTTGCTCTCTGTATATGTGAGTTAACAGTCAGAAAAGGTCACACTTTTAACATGTTAAAAACCAAATCTCTCTCCTGGGCATCTGGAGAGGTGTGTTTTTTTTTAATTCAATACACTCTCCCATTAGCAAAAGGAAAAAAAAACCCTACATTTTTCCTAAATTTAACTTGAGTTTATCCCCCAGCTGACAGAGCTACGTGCTTCCTTGCATGGAAACAATGACACAGACTGGGGAGTCTGACAGAGCTAATCTGAACTAGTTATCTGATATTTCTAGAAGGGTAGTCTTTACCTGAATCTTTTCAGACCTGGCCAGGCACAGTGTTCATGTTTAGTGGCTACACACACATACACACAAATTAGAGTCACATAGCCAACACCACTTTCACAATGAAGGGGACTGTGTTTTGTTTTGTTTTATTTTTCTCCCAGCATAGAATGGGATATCATTAGGATGAACAAATCATTTATCCTCTGAACTAAGGCACTGAACGATGGCTAGTTTAGCATGAGTGAAGTATGAATGTCTCAAGCAAACCAGAACTCGTTTCAGTATAATTGTTAACCAAGCACCTAGAAAGAGAATAAGAAAAAATAATGGAGTTTTTATTTAATACTTAATAACCAAGAGCAACTTTGCTAACTTTGTAGATTATCCCATTGAAGCCTTATAATACTTGAAATCTTAGTAATTTCCAGGCCAGTAGTTATCAAACTTTGTGTGTGTGTGTAAGCAATGGGAAAAATTTGCATATAAAAATCTTCCATGGAGCATTAATGTGGAAAACCAATAAAAGGCAGGCATAACTTCCCTGGTCAAAGCTGAGCTCAGGAGCTCACCCTAAACACCCAACCTCCTCCTGCTCCCGCCAGCCAGTGGCCCTGATTCCACTGTGCATCCTGGGCTACTGGAAACACATGAACAACCTGTAGTTAGACACCAGTATCTTCTCACGTGATCAACCGGTGACCTTTGTCATGAATGTCATTTTATAACTGAAAGAAATCCAGGCTGGGAGGGATTGAACAACTTTTCTAAAACCACTTAGTGAGTAGGTTCAAAAGCAAAGATTTCTGTTTTCCCCTCTCCAAGCCTACCACTTTCTTCTACATCAGCTATCATCTTCTGGTTGGTGACCGTTTAGAAACATATTGGGCTCTTTGCCAGCTAGACTTGCCCAAGCTGAGCAACACAGCATCCTCTGTCTGCTCTTAGTTATCTTAGGCTTTAAGGTCTTACTCCAGAGCTTTCTAACCAGTCTTGTTTTACCCTACAGAACCAACTAGCAATAACAACCATAATCACTAATGGTACTTATATGTTCTTGGCTGTGAACTAAATATTTGAAATGATTGTGCCATTTATTACTCATAACAAGGCTGAGAGGGGTACTATTATATTATTGCTTCATTGATTGGTACATGAGAAAACAGCACTACAAAGGCTACAAGTAAGACAAAGCAGCTAGTAAGAAACAGAGACAGATCTTATATATAGTGTCTTTTTATTTCAACACACTTGACAGCTTGTCAAGTAGATATTGTAACTGAATGCATTATATATTCACTCCTTGGAAAACCAGATTTGTACCTAAAGAGGACTGTCCAAATTCTAAGCTGATTGTCTAATGATGGTCTAGCTATTTTGAGCCCAATGAAGTCTTCCCTACTAAGCCATCACCTTGGCCATCATAGAAATCTTTTCAGATCTTAGGATTGGTTGAATTTAAATTATAACCTATTGGAAGTAAAGGATTATTTTAATGCTTGCTCTTTAAATGGTAGTTGGATGATACTTTAAAGTAATAATAATTTTAAAAGGTTTTACCTGATTTATATCTTCCAAAGCCAGTTTACATCAGTAACTTATATATCAGGTTTCCATGGAGATGTCTCAAACCCATTAGGCATCTGACCAAAGAGAGTACCTGGGAGAAAATAAGATCTAAATAACATCTAAATGTGTGTGCGTGCATGTGTGTGTGTGAATTACTATGGAGCTCTCTTGAAGATTATGTAGCTTAAGTTGCTTAATTCATAATAGTATTTTCTATAATATAATGAATCACAAGAAAGTAAAATAGATTATGTTGGGGGATAGATATCAGAGGGATAGAGGAAGGCCAATGAAAATGTGAATTAAGGTGAAGATCGTCAAAGTAATTTATATGCACATATGAAAATATAATATTGAAACCTACTGAAATTGAAGGGAGGAAGAGAGATGAGGGAGAGATGGAAGAAATGAGTTTGATTTGAGTACACTGAATGTATGTATGTATGGAAATATCACAAGGAAATTCCCTTTTTGTATAACTAATAAATGCTCATTTAAAAAGCATTTTGTATATAGACACTGCTTTTAGGCATGCCAGATGTCACTTTACACAATGGGCAGCCAATAAAAGGACCTTATTTGCCCTATAACAGACTGTAGCCTGACCAGTAATACTAAGTTTTAAGTTCTTACAAAGGCCAATGATGTATTCTATAGACCAGTATGTATCACTACATACAGTAGAATATTTATTAATAATATCCAAGATGACTGTGACATGTTCTGAATTTAAACCAGCCCTTAATGTATGATTCCTGGCATGCTCTTGGCTTTCCTCTAGCCAGAGTTTATCTATTTTCACATGACATAAAAACTACATCACCTGGATAACCTACTTTGCAGGTAACCCACTTGACCTGTGATTAGCCAATGCCTTCCATTGTTGCAGGTATAGAGAAATGATCACATTATATTTGTCCTTGAAAGACCTAACACTTAATTGGAAACAGTTTAAAACAGGATTAGACAGTATATAATAGGGTATTATATTACTTACAATAAACACCTATCTTGTCTCTGTGTTTTTCCTTTTCTTTCAATAAATGACTTAGACAACATGTAAAGCATGCTTATTAAATGTCTGAAAGACACAAATCTGGAAATGAGAAATGGAAGATTGATATATCGAGTGCTAGAAATAATGATTCTGTAGACAAGAACACTGTGCTCAGAACAAAGACTAACAAGTTGAAATTAGCAGCAACAAACAGAAGGCCAGACATTTAGTTTCAAAAAAATCCAATACCCTATCTATAGGATGGGGGAAAAGGTGTAATTTTCACATTTTAAAAAATCTTACTGACTTTTTAATTACCCTCAACTTGCATCCAAAATCCGAAGGGGCATGGGGAGGGTTGGGAAGTCTATAATCTCATCTGTGAACCTCGCCCCTTGATGCACCTCGACGAACACACTTGCTGACCTAGAATGCACAGTTGAAGAAAGAAAATATGCTCACTGACTTGAGCCCATCAGCAATAGACACAACACTCATAGAAGGGCATATTTGATAAAATACGGAGACTACGTTGTTGAGTGACAGGGAAACCAGGCTTTACAGAAATGTTAAGTAACCACAGGATGTTTAGTCTAGAGAAGAAAAGATTATGAGGCTTTGATGGTTGTTTTCAAGCATTTGGAGAGCTATTGTGTGACAATAAGGAGAGTTTAAGACCTTTGTGGGTTATTCCATTTGGACCAATGAGATGTTATTTAGAGAGAGGCATATTCATTTTTGGTGACTTCATAAATTTTTCTGCCCACCTAAGCAAGCCTGCTTCTAAAGGTACCTAGATGAAACTGTCTGTCCATCTGTCCTGTAAACTGCTTCTGTCTGGAAAGAAGCCAGACTTTGTCAATCATTGGGGCAAATGATCTTTAAGAATCCCTTTGATTCTTCAGTCTTCGTTTACACAATGAAGTGGGAAGTAACAGAATATATGCTTCCCTGAAGCCTTCAGATTCACAAGAATTTTGCAAGCCTATAGCTAATAGATGTATTTTCCCATCACCCTAAAAATAATTAGGTGGAGTAGGGCTTTTAGTTCTCAGAAGAGCATTTCACAGCTGAGTCATATTTGGTAAACTTATTTCTATCAAGTTTAATCCAAATATATAAAGCATTTTAACAAAAGAGGAATGGTAAAGTAATACAAACCATCAATTACAATACATCCATTTAACATTCATAAACAAACAACCTTACAAAGTAGTTACTGTTACTGTACTGTCTTAACAGAGGAGGAGTTTTCATTACATTTTGCAACTATGGCCTATAATACAATATCACTAGTAATGGTATGAATGTAAACTTGGAAAATAATCACATGCCTAGTGGACCAGGCACTTTATATATGCAATCAAGTGTGGCTTCATGATTAGTGCAGGTATTGTTTAATGATTGGAATCTGATCTAAGAAATGTGTCAATCAGTAATTTTGTGGTTGTGTGACCATCCTACACAAACCTGGATGGCATAGCCCACTACACACCTAGATACTATGGTGTATGTATGCTACAGCAGTGTTATACAGCACCTGACTATATGAACATACTAATGTTGTAAATTGAGACATTTAGATGCAGGTGAGCAGGATAATGAAAGAATCATTAGGCCAACTCCTCTGTGTCTTTGGGATCATATCCTAGCTAGCTTGAATATGGTGTCTGTAGTATGAGACTGTGGGATGTTAGCAAATAAAGTTATTTCATGATCTCTTCCTTGCAGGGGTGGAATGGTCCAAACCAGTGAGCAGTATGAATTTGTGCACCATGCTCTGTGCCTGTATGAGAGCAGACTTTCAGAAGAAACTGTGCAGTGATATACTGAAGATAACTAGACCATCAGTCTATTGGGTGATGAATCAAAGCACCCCCACTTGAAGCTTCAAGAAGAAGCTTCCTGGGAATGAGGGATGGAGGAGCTCTGAAACCAACCTGTGGCATGGATTGTGGGAGGCCTGGCAACCTACTCAGGATTGCCAATCTCTTGTGTATATTAGTGCATTTGTAAGCATCCCCATGTTATTTTGAAGGTCCTATGCTGATGGAGGTGTACTAGATTTCTCACAAAGCCTAAAGTGGCTTTTGTTTTGTCTGTATTGGGTACCAACCACATAGAATGTATGTATGTATGTATTATAAAGTGGTCTCTGTCATCAAGTGATGATTGGAGGCACTGCTGAAGACATCATTATTGTGTGTTTAGATGCTCTAGTGTCTGTAGTCTGTCTCGCGAATGGACTGTTCCCATTTTAAGTGCTATTATGTATCTCAGTTACCAGAATCTTGCTGCTGATGTTGATTGATATCAATCAAGTGATTGATAATGAATTTTTAACAAATAAGTTTTTCTTTAAAAAAAAAGCAATCTAACACAGTAACTATTTTATATGGAAATGTGTCTTGATAACATTATCTACTAAATGTGTATTTATAGTACCTCCTATCAATTACAGAGCACAATGATTGTCACTGGATATATATGTACGTATTCTCTATTGTTAGGCATAGAGGTGGCTCCCCAGACCCACCCTCTATCCACTATATTTCTACATTGTAAATTGTTTTACTCTAAAGGGGGAGTGGGGAATTTGTAGCAACTATGAAGTATCAAGAATTTCAAATACTTGTCTCTCTTTTACTAAGAAGGGACCTTTGTATATGCTGTCTACTTGGAATCCCTCTCCCAAAGAGGCAGGACTTTGCTGTGACGTGTCTCATGTCCAGAGTTCTTCAGATTGTTCTGAGAGGTTTTCATCTGCACGAGACAAAGTTAAAATAACTACACTCAGAAAACACAACGTTCTGCTCAAATATGAATTTTTAATGCAGCAATGCTAACTTTGTTTCATACTGCCAATAAACTACCCTTAATACTAACTCCTGAGTATTCTTTTATTTATTATTGTAATTTTCTTTCTTCTTTTCCTATTTAGAGAGAAGCCATTGTCTGTTTGGGGAAGCCTGAAGTAGATAACTTGATGGGTTTAATATTAGTCTGTATCTCCCCAGCAGAGATGACTGTCTTGGAAGGCGATATTATCATCCCTTGAGAGATCTCATAGTGCCATCATTATGTGGCTTTCCTTATAGACACCTAGCATATCATTATATAAACAGTAAATGTTTATGGCTTTTAGCACTTGTCACAGACCCTCATAAATTATATGCTTTACATCTATTCTGCAGAATCACATCACCTGACAAGATGTAAGTTTGCAGAAGTATTCAATTATCCAAGATTACAATTCCTTTCTTCCCTCTCGAGGTTAGAAGTACTCATGAGCCAAAAGGAGGATAGGTGAAGACTTAAAGATGTTTATTCTGCTCCTGGAGGCTAGATCTACATACAAAAAAAAGAAGTAAACTTATTCCCTTCTTTCTAAGGAAACAGACAAAAGGACACTGGTGTAAAACTTCCCCAAACAATTCAATTGGAGGAAGTGCTCGTCACTGACTTTTCCCCTCACCATGAAGGCACATTTCCTTCCTAGTCTTTGCTTCTCTTATCTGGGAGAAAATTTTCCCCCCTAAGCGAAGCTGGAATGGTTGTTATGTGGAAAATGGAGGCTGAATTTTACGTGGCGATTCTTACCTGCTTGATCTTCAGGAACATGGGTGAGTGGATCTACCTCTGTGTCTGAGGCATCTCTCCTAATGCCAGCTAGCCAAAGAGGTTTGGAGCCTTTGAAAGGTGTCTGAAATAAGGCTGGAATGGTAAGGTCTTCATGGCAGGGAAGCCAAAGGCGATGAGGAAGGGGGAATAAGCGCAGCCAGCTGTGGCCACACTGCTGAGATTTCTCCAACAGAAAATTCAAAGCTCTCCTCCTTTCATCCAAGTGTTTCAGGCAGCTCACCTCCTAAAAGGAAGGACAGCTGTATAGCAGAGAGTGAAGACTCCTGTGGAGAACTCTTTTATTATTATGTGACAGTCTATAGCCTAATCGTGCTTCCCTCCCCCCCCCCCCCCAGTCGAGTTGTAGTTTTGCTTTCTTTTGTGTTAAAAAAAAGAAAATACAGAGAATCTGACTAAAGGAATGAAGAACAGAGCTTTATTTGGATGTTGTCATTTGGAAGGACTGGATGTTTTCTTGGGAAAACTCTGGAGAATTTAAAAGAAACCCACTGAAGATGATTTCTCAGGCTTATTGTCTTCATTTTTTAAATATAGATGCTTAAGAATAAGATGTTTAATTTTCATACAACAAGAAATGCTGACTTTTAAGAAATCTGTCAGTATTTGAGAGAAAACTTATACATTGTCACAAAATACATACTTCTTTCCAGGACTACAGGAAATTTGGGTTGTGGTGATATTTTACTTGTTTTCAATTAGCTAAAAGGCTGTGCCTGAAAAGGGAGGAATTTGGTTTTTTTGTCTTTAAATAAATAGGCCCAACTTTTAAAAAAAATACATTGTATTCAAGCTATGCAACTCATATAGTAACATTTATTACAATGTGAATTTAAGTACTGGAAAGGAGATATTTTAAGCATGATATTGTGGAGAAAATTAAATAGTTAAAAGAGGCTTAACTTTATATAACTGTAGTATATTTGACTAACCCTGTTCTTTGGACATATCTCTTCTCAACCAAAAGAAAACCATATTTGCTGGATGGGTTAGTTTCTTTTCCCAGCTTCCTTTCATTTGTTCCAATGAGGGCGTGTTTTCTTTCCTAAACTATGCAAAAGTTTAAAAGGGCCAGTGGGAGGGGGGATGAGGAGGAGATGGGAGAATGTCTAAGGGTGACATGGCATTTTCCATTGTCAGTCTTGGGATTTTATCTTTTCTCTTCTTCAAATCACATGGGTTGAATCTGAGAATATTCACTTGAAGGGGCAGAAACAGCAAAATATAAGTAAATCTCATACTTTCACTCAAGTGATTTGTGGGTATATAGTTATATGTTTAATAGCCATTGAAGTTTGTTACAGTATTTTGTAAACTTTCATCTTCCAGAGGGGTTTCAGATTATCCATGTCCAGAAACAACAGTGCCTTTCCATAAATCAGAGAGTGATCATGGGCGCATGCAATTGGACCAGCCAGAATCAGCAGTGGCTGTGGACTAAAGATGAGAAGCTCCTCCATGTTAAATCTGCATCGTGCCTGGGTATCTCCAACTCGTCTGGTGGCCCTTCCCGGGCAGCCACCTTCATCGGCTGTTCCCAGGCACCCCGATGGACCTGCTATGAGCAGGACGGGTTCCTTGAGGTGGAAAATACCTCTTTCTTTCTCAAGAAACAAGGTCCCAAGGTAGTAGTCAAGAAGGGCAGGAAATACCTCCATAGCTGGATGAAAATAGAGGTCAACAAGGAAGGAAATCTGGTGAATGAAAGCCTCTGCTCAAAGAAAGGTGAGCTATTCGTGTCAGAATCTATGTGAAAGTCTTTCTGCTCAGTGGCCTGGTTTGATACATCTAAGGGAGATCAGTATGCCTTGATATGTTCTCTATGGAAGATTCATCATCTAGTAGAAGTCAACTATGTAGTGCCCCATGATGGAAACCATTATCCTCATTTTAAAATGCCCAACTTACCTCTAGCACTTATTCTTCCTTTTATTTTACTAATTCAACAAATATTTCTTAAACTTCTCTTTTGTGCTAGATCCTGCGATTAGGTTCTATCAGATATTGGATGCAGATCTGGGCATAATACACAACATATATGCGCATATATGCATGTACACAGGCACACATGCACACACATACATAAGTAATGACTAATGACCTGGAAATTATTAGGTTTTGCTGACAGATGCTTCTGTCCCCTGATGATAGGGACTATTAGTACACTGACAGGTGCTAATTGGACTGTGAAGGTAATACTTCATGCTTTTGCAATCCTTTGCATTGATATTTAAGAGATAATATACATTTTCAAAAAGGTAAGAACCAATGAACAACCTCAGATAAACTGAGAACAGAGCTATGATAAGAACCTAAGTGTCCAGTGTGCTTTACCAATACAGGTCAAGGGTGAAAAGAGTTTAGATACCTTTTCCAAGATTTACCAAATCTACTTTCATTTGTAGAAATGGTTGGTAGTGGTATAAAGTTATTACCTATGTTCAGATGCTTCATATATATGAGATGACATCAAATATTTCACCTTACAGTTCCACATTTACTCCACGCTTACTACATATTCATTCATTCAAATATGCCATGTACTTCAGACAGACAATTTTTCAAGTGCCCTTGATTTGACTGAGCTGATGATCTCATGTAGGGATATTTTTTCTTTTTGCTGATGTAGTTAGCCACATTGTCATCAGTCTTAATGTAACTGCTGATTAAAATAATTGTCTAAGGTAATGTGGGTGAGGGTATAAAATGCATAAGTATTGCAAAAGGTAAGCAATTGTATACTCTTATCAAAGGAAAAGGACTTACTAGAAAGTATTTGTTTTAGTTTCCAGCAGAAGAGTTGTGGGGGAAAATGAAAACAAAGTATCCCTTGTATATACAAATTTTCCTGTGATAGAGTTGGCTAACACAATTATTTTTGGCATTCTTCTCTTTGCAACATCAACATGGTTCTTGTAATGGGTCATATTCTTTCATAATGAATGGTGATAAATTATGGGACTTCTACAACCATTGGCACAGCATCCAAATTTCCCTACCCATCTTCAGTCTGTGACATGTCAATGTGACTCTGGCTGGTTTTATGTTTGTTTGTTTGTTTTTTGTTCTGTCAATGTGAACTTCTTTCTCCATTTGAAATAACTAGCAAAATAATTTGGTAGATTTTCATGGGCTCTAAAATTCTCATTATTCCTGATATGTAAAAAAATTTTGTTGACTTTAAATTTCTTTTATTTTCAATTAAATAATTCTTTGGCCCTAGAGATGATACTAGACACTGTGATTATTGTACCTAATGAACAGGCAAGTCCTGCCCTTCCCCCATGCCCCCATATGACCTTACATATGATCTGATAGATCTGAACTTACATGTCTTTCTTCCTCCTTCATCTAGTGTGCTTTCCTTCTTCTACCCTACAATCTCATGTTTTTTTTTTCCTCAGGTCAAAAAAAAATGGGTATTGGAATGAACTAGCACATGTTCATACTTACAATGCTTAAGGAATAGTTAACTCCTAAGAAGTATTCCTTTAATGTCATTAGTCTACTTTTTAAATCTAAATTTATTACTATACTATGCTTTGGTGTTTTCTTAAGCTATATGTTGGTTTGCATTTCCATCTATTAATTTTACTTTAGTTCCAATTTAGATTAAAAATGATATATAATACATATTTAAATATACTTCATTGATTATATTTTCTGAAATGTTAACTAATTTTATCATGTCCAATAATCATTTAACTACTATAATTCCTATCCATTCCTCTTTCTTTCTATTGGAGTTGACTATTATATAGAAAGTATATGCATGTATTGTCCTTTTTTCTCATATACTTCTTATTTTATTTGTAAACTTTTCCAGATGAGTTGCTCACATTTAAAAGGCAGATTATATTTGGCATCTTCCAAAATAATACAAAGTACTAGAATAAAATAGTTAAAATTTCCCTTCTCAAAAATGAGTTAAATTTAAGTTATTGTGTTTTTAACATGCTTATTTAAAGAAGAGAAACTGATCATTTGTGTATCAGCACACAAAAACCTCATTTCTAGCCATGGTTATTTCTAAGTCAGTCATAGGACATAAACTAAAATACATATTGCTTATTAAAAATTTATTCAGAGGCTGGGAAGGTGGCTCAGTGTTAGAGCACTTGCCTTGAATGCATGAGGCCCTGGGTTCGATTCCCCAGCACCACATAAGCAAAAAAGAAAAAAAGCCAGAAGTGGCACTGTGGCTCAAGTGGTAGAGCGCTAGCCTTGAGCTGAAGAGCTGAGGGAC